GTGGCTCTTGGCACCACCAAAGAGATGCTGGCAGGACCCCATCCCAGCTGCAGGGATTTCTGCATTTCTCATGAGAAACTCTCCAAGACCTTTAGGAATTAAATACAAGAAGTAAAAGCTGGTTTTACATTTCCTAAAAGGCACTATCACAGCAGGGGAGGAGGCAGCAGGGATGAACACTGGTGACAAGGGACACTTGGTGCTCAACAGGCAGATCCCGGGGATAAAAGGGTCCAAGCCATTCCCAGAAAGCTCCCATCAGACACAAGCAGCTTGGCTGATGCCAGTGCCAAACCGCAGCTAAGGTCTGCAGCCTCTGATGGGAAATTACTTGTATCGAGCACTCTGGAGGTTTCCTCCTTTTCCAAACCCAGATTTGTCTTTGGTGGTGGTGGAGAAGGGGGAGGAAGGGTGAATGCTGCACAAACAACTTCTGGTAAGTGTTTTCTCCTCCTCATCCTGCCTCCTCTTACACTCAGGTTTTGTTTTTCTTTTAGTGGAAACTTATCTTTAAAAGAAGTTTTTAAAAATCATTTCAAATGAAATGATGAAATTAAGTCTTAGAGCACAGGACAGATCAACTCAGCAGTGCCCCTCCCTGGGCACAGTGCAGGCAAGAGGATGGAGGCTGTGACAGATCAGTGGCTGCTGGAGAGGGTCCACCTCACCCTCACCTTCACCCCACTGCAGGTCCACGGCACAAGGCAGTGATTTCCTACCTCCCCCTACCCACTAGGAGCCCCAAATCCTGCCCTTCCCCTTGGCCACACTATAACCCACCACATTCCACACGAGCAGCACCTCTGCTCCAGCCTTTAGCTGGGCTGAGAAACGGCTGCAAGAGAAAGGAGCACACAGGGAGCTCTGTCCCAGCTCCAAAAAAAAGGGAGAAGACCCAGATCCACAGCAAACTGAGGCCACGAGGCAGCACTGTGACATCTGAGATTGCTGCAGTTGTGCCCAGTAATTCCAGTGTTCCTGGGGACAAGGAACATTGGCACTCACAACAGCACTACTGCAGCATTGCCCCTGCACAGATAAGAGGCTGTGAGGAGATGGAATCTCCCAGGTGGAAAAAAAACAACAGAAACTTCCAGTTTCCACCATTAAAAAAAAAAAAAAATCCTCTCTGCCCTTTCCCCTACTCCAAATCCCTGACTAACACTTGACCTGTGCTACAGAGGTTTGTCAGCAAGAAGCAGTGGGTAGATCCAGCTCCATACGTACCCACAAGCCATCCTGAGTCATGCCAGTAAAACCCCAAACTTTTTGTTGATAGAATAAAATCACCTCCCCAGCCAAAACAAGTTCCTCTTCCAGCTCTTTCCCCAGCAAACAGCCAGCCCAGCCCAGTTGCCTTATTAACCAACACAAACAAAAACCCATCTTCCATCCAAAAACCCACAGAGCCTCACATCTGCAGAGGTGTCATTTTGGGCCACAAAATCACCAGTACCAGAAAGCTGCTCCCAAAGGGAGCCTCTACAAAGCACAAATGAGTTTCCTCCAGCAGCAACAACAACCTTTGCAAACAACAGGGGCAAACAAAGTCCAGCTCAGCCTTGGATCACATCTCAGAGCAGGAAAATAAAGGGATCAGCCTTCAGTGAGATTCATTATCCACTAAAAGAAAAGCAGGGAAGCATCCCTCCAGGGAGGGAAATGGATTGCTGAGGCACAGCTAAATATTTATCAGGTCCAGCATGATATTTTCCAGGCACCTACCGTTATGCCAGCAGAGGAGGAAGGCAGGAACAAAGTGCTGTATTTTCTCTATGATCATTAGAATTAATTAGATTTGAGCTCTGTGATGCTTCAACGAGAATTAAATGATGGCTCCCTGGGATCAGAGCTCCCACCCCCTCCAACCACTCACACCCTGGGATCACCAGGCTGGGGCTGCTCTGCCTGGACACAATGGGAGCCCAAAGCCAAAGTCCTGCTTCAGCAGGTCACGACCCACATGTGTATTTTTGGCAGTGCTGCCTTTTTTTGGGGATGGCAGCTGGAAAAGTGTGAATGGCAGATGAGACAGTGCTGGATTCACAGCTGAATTGCATAACAGTGCTGTGCTCCCACGGAGGGCACAGCCAGGGCATGGCAGGGACACGTCCCCACCACTTATTTACCCACCCAGAATAGACGTGCCACAAGAACAAGCACCAGTTCATCCCCAGGTCCTGGCAAAATCACTGCTGAGTTTTCCAAGCCTCTGTGGCCAAGCAGAGCTGCCTCCCCAGAGCCACAGCCTGGCTCCAGACAGATCCTGATCCCTCTCCCCCAACAGCACCTCTATTCCCAAAGGATGATCTCCCTGCTAAGGAAAAACATTTGCTTTTGAATTACTCAGGCATCGGTGCTGGGTGAGCCAGGACAGGACAAGCAGGTCTTTTTCCTCCAGATCCCACCCATGCACTCACCTTCCCTCCTTCCCTGCAGCTGCTTTTCCCAGCAAACTCCAAAATTTTGGCAAACAACTGTTTCCCCCCTGGCACACTCCTATCTGTCCCTCCAGGAGGGGCTTCCCAGGCATCAGGGGCCACTCAAGTCACAGCCAACAGCCCCAGTGATGGCCAAATAGATTTCCACGTGCAGGACAGTCAGAAGATGCACCCTGAGGCCCAGGGAAAAGGCAACAGACTGGATTTGTATCCCCAGAGCCTCAGACCCTGCACCCTCCACTGTGTTTCTGCATCTACACAAAGGCTGAGAATTCCCCAAGGCTTCATCCCCTCCTGCTTTAACTTCTGGGATACAACAGCATCCATTCAAAAAGGTGGAAAATCACACCCAGGCCCAGCCACATGTTGCAAGCTGCAGCCAGAGGCTGTGTCCCTTGCAAAGCACTGCAAGGAGGACACAGGGACAGCTCCAGAGCTTTGTTCCCAATTTCTTCCTACAGTGCCACCCATGCCATGAGATCAGCTCAAGGGAACTTGGGTGACCTGAGAAAACAGGGAGTTTTTGCATACATGAGTAAACATCAGCCTCAACAGAGCAAGATAACACAAGAGACATTCTCCCACATACGAGATCCTGCGAGATAACTGCGAGATCAAGCAGACAAGAGCAATGGGAAGAGGAAGAAAGAAAGCTGAAATCCTCCCTAAGCTCCACACAATCCCCAGAAGGTGTTTATCTCCCAAGCTATGTTTAGTGCAGAGCAAAGCCCCGGCCCAGCACCATTCCTATCACCAGTGTCACGGCCAGCCACACATCCCAAAAATCTCCCGAGGCAGGAGACAACCCCGTGACTAAGCCAAAGTGATGGCAGGTGAGTTTTGGAAGACATCTGTCACAGAAAGAGCCAACCAAGAGCTTCAACACAGCAGCCTTTGCTTACAACCCTGAGCAACACAAACCCCAGGAGAACCAGCAAAGGAAACCTGAGATTGCTCACTGAAATTCCCCAAGGAAAACTAGGGAAATTTAGCCAAAATTCAGGCTGCCTGAAAGAGAGGGAAGTAGCAGCAGGTGCACACACTCAGACCTGCGAGCATCCCTGGAAAAACCCACTTGGAGGCAGGTGCAAGCCAAGGAGAAGCAGGATGAGAAGAGGCAGATGTGCTACACACATTCAGGATCAACCCTCGTGCTGATGGAAGCACAGGAGCTCAGGTCAGACAGTGCCAGCAAAGACCAGGCACTCTCAGCACACGTGTGACACCTCCAGCACAGGACATCAGGGTTAAAACTGCATCAATGAACCAATTTGTCACAACCAACAGAAACCTGCAGACACAGAGCAGCTCCAAACCTCCTCCAAGGAAAAGCACCAGGCTCCCAGCTGTTCCTCCAGGCATCACCTCCTGCTGTCAGCCACACTGCTTCCCCCAAAATCCTCCAGACCCAGCTCGGGCTTCATCACAAGTGGTCCCTGGGCCAGGCTCACCTCGTCCCTCCATGCACACATCCACCGGTCCGGCACAGGCAGCCGAGGAAAGGGCTGGGCTCGGGTGTCCCAACCTTTTAAGAAGCCTGGATGATCTCTTCCAAGGCTGGATGGCTGCAGGCATGTGCTCCTACCTGTGAGTCAGCAGCTCCGCTCAGCAGCTCCGTAAATCGCTGCTGATTCACCCCCTGCTTACACAGCAAACAGGAAACTCAGGTCCACATTCCCTCCGGATAAGACACGGATCGTTTAAAAGAGGGGGGGGGAAAAAAAAAGTCACGAGAGGTGCGTTCATGTGCTCACATGGCTCCTGACTTCGAGTTTCCAGCGCATCACTCCCGCACAGGGAAAACCCCTCAAATTTTATTCCGCGTATCCCTCCTCCGTCCTGGGAGCGGCTCCGGGCAGCACCGGGACACCGGCAAAGCCATTTCCCTGTCCCCATCCATCCCAGCCGATACCTGCCGGCCGGTGCTCACCTTGCGACGGGGACAGGTCACCTGAGTCACGGCCGTGCTCTCGAAATAACACCTGTGACACACGGTCACGTTCTGCGGCTGGGGACAGCGGGAAAGCAGCGAGGCACACGCCGGCATCGGGCCCGGGCCGTGCCCCAACACCGGCACGAGGCGACACGAGGCGACACGAGGCGACACGAGGCGACACGAGGCGACACGGCCCACGCCCGGAATCCCAGCCCGCTCCTTTCCCACCCGGCTGAGCCACGGCCCGGGCTCCGCTCAGCCGCGGCTCCGAGCCCAGCGATTCACCAGGAGCGGAAACTCAGGAAAGGTTCCAGCAGCAACAAACAAAACTCGCCTGTTTTCATCGCTCTCCCCACGCCAAACGCAGCTTCGCCCCATCCTCCCCCGCGGCCCCTCCGCACATCCCCACCGAGGGCTCTGCAGCCCCGGTATCGCGGCACCGCGCTCCGGCCCCGGCGACAACACCGGGCTGCGGAAACACCGGGGCCCGCGCAGAGGAAGCCGCGGGGAGCCCACACCCGGCGGGTTGGGCAACAGCCCCGGCCCCGCTGTTATCCTGCTGTTATCCCACTGTTACCCCGCGGTTCCCCCCCGGCCGCCCCTTCCCCGCAGCCCGCTCGTACCTCTGGGCAGGGACATGGCGCAGTGCGAGCCCGGCGGGCCCGGCCCGAGCGGAGCCCGCGAGTCCCGCCCGCCGCGGCCCCGCCGGCAGCCGCCCGCCGGGCCCGCCCCCGCGCCGCCATTGGCCAGCGCCGCGCAGAGGGGCGTGGCCAGGGCCCCCGCGCGGAAACGGCTTTGCGGTTCTCGGGCGCGGCTGTGAGGGTGAAGTGGGGCGGGCGGGCGGCGGTGCTCCCCAAGGGAGGTGGCCGCGGTGTCCCCGTCGCTGGTGTGGCCCCTCCGCGGAACCCGCAGGGTTGGGGCGCGGAGCATCCCCCGGGAGCTCTGTCCTGTGCTGCTCCTTGAGCCACGCACCTCACCTGTCAGTCAAATCACCACATCTTCCGTGGGTTCTGCACGCCACGGGTGCCACCGGTGGGTGCAGCTGGAAAATGGGGAATCAAGAGAATGGCTGGAGCTGTGTCAGGGCAGGGTTAGATTGGATATTAGGGAATGTTCTTCCCTCAGAGGGTGCTGGGGCACTGAGCAGGCTCCCCAGGGAATGGTCACAGCCCCAAGGCTGCCACAGCTCCAGCAGTGTTTGGACAGCACTCCCAGGCATAGATGGATTTTGGGGCCTGGGGTTGGACTGGGTGATCCTTGTGTGACCCTTAGAGCTCAGGATACTCTGTGATTCTATGATTAATTCCTCTCTGAGTCACTGAGGAACCAGTCCCTCCTAGACGTGGCACATCCCAGGGTAAGGATGCTCCCACAAACAGCCGAGCTGGGCTGCAGGCAGAAGTGCTGGACAGGATGAGAGATGCAGTTGAACAAGTAAAAAAAGGAGATTCCAAATGCTATTTTCTGGTTAGAATTCTTAGTATGATCCAAAGGAGGGGTTGGAGGGGTGGCAACTGCTGACAGCACTGGTGAGATCACAGCTGCTCTGCCACAGCCAGCTCTCAGCTTTGCAGAGCATTTGGGATAAATTTGAGGACTGGAAAAACTTCCTCAAACCCCGGCAGTAGAAAGGAATCGCTGCCAGAGGGAAGGAGCTGGATGGATTGGGATCTGTGGCTGCACGGATGCCTCAAGCAGAGCTGCCCCGACGGCACCAGATCCAGCAGCTGCACACTGAGGGTGGAAGAGTTCAAATGGAAAATAAATTACAGGTTTTTAATGAGGAGAGCAATTACCATCCCCAGAGATGTCGCAGATTCACCACCTTTCAAGTCTTTCGACACAGACGAGGAGGAGTCTTTCTAAAAAAAAAAAAAAAACTGCAGCCCAACCGCGGGTCATTAGTGCTGATGCAAGAGCTGTGGATGTCACTGCAGGGCTGGGCAAGCAGGAGCTGAGTGGACCTTTTTGACATTTATCCACAAGGATCTTGGGATGAGCAGCAGGGTTTGAACTGATCCACACAGGTTTGGGCTGAGCCAGTGCTCAGGTGTGAGTTTTGGGGGGTCTGTAGCAGAGCAGAGCAGAGCATCACCAGCACTTTGGCAAACGTGGAGCTGTGGGGACCTGTGGGACCGGCTCTGACAGCACCTGGGGTGTCACTGCAAGTGCAGGACATGACCCTGCTGTCCCCAAGTACGTCCCAGTGTGACCATCCCTCCTCCTGGAGGCCAGAGCCAGCTGTGGATCCAGGTGGATAAAGCAGCTGTCTGGATTTCAATCTCCAGCCCTCAATCCCTGGGCACTCCACGAGTGTCCCCTGCTCCCAGGCCTTCCAGTTCAGGAGAGCTCCAGTAGCACACAGGGAAATTGGGATGCACTCAGCACCCAAATCCAGCAGGGTGGGATGGCAGGGAGCACACGGACCCCCACGAGCTGCAAGGAAGGAACCAGAAGCAGCCACCTGGTCACCTCCCAGCCATGGCAGGGCTTGGGGATCTCTTGGGAGACCTTTCCTTTTCTTCTGCAGCCTCCCAGTGCTGCTGGCATGGCTTCTTCTGCCTGCACCTCCTCGTCTGAGCCACTGTCCTTGGGTCCTGCAGTCTCCCAGGGAATCATCACAGACACAGGATCCCCATGGAGCATGAGTGCTCCCAGAGATTTTGGCAAGGGTGCTAGATTTTTGGCACCCATGGGAAGCCTCTCCATGCTTTCAGGGGCTGTAGGTGAACCTTTGGTTGTGGAGCTCTGGATCAGGGTGATCACCAAGAGAGAAATAAGGAGCTGCTCACCCACATCGGGGCAGAACCTGCTTCTCCTTGCTCCTCTCTCCTGAAGCTTCCCAGACTCACTCGGATGTCTCCTGAGCATCCCTGTGTGCTGGAGGACATCAGCCCCCCCTCACAGCTCCAGATCATGCCAGTTATTCCCCTTCCTCCCTGCAACACCCCAGCAGTGCTCAGCCTGGCTGCTGCAGTGTTTGCATTCCCTGCCTTCCCCTGCCCGGGGGTTTTGCTGTTTGTGTCTCCCTGCACCACCACATGGTGTGGGAGCACAGCAGAGCAAAGGGAGGGGATGAGGAGAAGGACATCTCCTCACCAGTGTTCATGGAGAAGGAAGGGAATGAAGCTCTCTCTCCCAGTTCTTTGGGCCAGGGGTTGCTGCAGGGCCAAGGCTCCATGGGAATGGGAAAAGGGCAGGAGACCCTGCCAGGCAGAACAGCAGCACCAGCCGATGGAGGAGCAGCACAGAGCAACCAAATCCAGTGAATTCCTCACCTGATGGGCTGGCTCGGGCAGCAGGAGCCGAAAGGATGAGTGAACAAAGGCCAAGCTCCATGAGATGTTGAGGTGGAGAGAAGCTGCTGGTGAATTATTCCTGGTTCCAGGTTAATTTAGGTGTTGCTGCTTTTCCTGTTGCCAGCTTGTCCCACTGCACAGCCGGCACAGACACCTCGGGCACTCTCAGCTCCTGTCACTGAGAGCTTTGGGGTCAAAGATGTGATGTGTATGTGATTTATGGTGTATATATGATACGTGATGGAGCACCTCTGCTCTGGAGCCAGGCTGGGAGAGCTGGGAGTGTTCAGCCTGGAGAAGAGAAGGCTCCAGAGAGACCTTAGAGCTCCTTCCAGAGCCTAAAGGGACCCCAGGAGAGCTGGAGAGGGACTTTGGACAAGGGATGGAGGGACAGAACAAGGGGGAATGGCTTCCCACTGACAGAGGGCAGGGATAGATGGGATATTGGGAAGAAATTCTTCCCTGTGAGGGTGGTGAGGCCCTGGCACAGGTTGTCCAGAGAAGCTGTGGCTGCTCCTGGATCCCTGGAAGAGTCCAAGGCCAGGTTGGATGGGGCTTGGAGCAACCTGGTCCCAGCATCACGCAGGGGCCATGAGCTGGGGCTTCCACCCCACAGCCCCAGTAGCCCAGGGCAGAGAGCCAAGTGCACAGGGAGGGCACCCAGCACAGGAACTGCCACAGAGCAGGTGGCACAACGGGACAGCACCAGCACAGCCCAGTAACACAGAGAGGAAAACCAGTACAGAGCCAGTGCGGGACCAGTACAGAGCCAGTAAAGGACCAGTAGAAAACCAGTGTGGGACCAGTACAGAAATAGTGCAGGATCAGTGCGGGACCAGTGTGCGACCAGTACAGAACCAATACAGAAACGGTACAGGACCAGTGCGGGACCTGTACAGAAAGAGTGCGGGATCAGTGCAGGACCAGTACGGAACGAGCGCAGAACCAGTAGAGAACCACTACCGAACCAGTGCAGAACCAGTACAGAACGAGTGCGGGACTACTGCGGAACCAGTACAGGATCAGTGCGGGATCAATGCGGAACCAGTATAGGACCAATACAGGATCAGTACAGGATCAGTACAGGATCAGTACAGGATCAGTGCGGAACCAGCGCCCCCAGTGCCGGCGGACGCTGGTGGCCGTGCCCGCCCGCGCGGGGGCGCCGGGCGCTGCCTGCGGGCCCCACATCTGTGGCGGCGTTGCCCCTTTAAGGGCCGCGCGGCCGTACCAAAACAAAAGCGCGGCGCGGCCATTGGCTGCGGGGCGGGCACGTGCCGCACAGCTGGGGCTTCCTGCGGCCGGGGCCGCGCCGGGGCCCGACCGCGCCTCCGCTCCGGCACCGACACCGGAACCGATACCGGCACCAGAACCGGCACCCGTAGCGGTCTGCCATGGCGCACTCGGCGCCGCTCGGCCTCCTGGAGCAGGGCTGCCCCATCCAGGTGGAGCACGATCGCAAGCGGCGGCAGTTCACCGTGCGGCTCAACGGTAAGGGAGGGCTCGGGGCTGCCCGGGACGGTTCCTGCTGCCCTCTGCCCACGGTCCCACCTCGCTGCGGGCCCCGCGTTCCCGTTCTTTTCCAGCTCTCGCTGTTTCCCCCCCGTCTCTCCCCCCGTTCTTCCTCCCCGTTGCTCTCCCCCTTTTTCTTCTTGTTCCTCCCCCTTTTTCCTGTTCTCACCTATTTCCCCCCCGTTTCCCCCGGTCCCTCCTCCTCCCGTGCCGCTGTGTCCAGCAGCGCTTTCCCCTCTACTCTCCACCCTGCCGTGGTGTGACACCTCCCCGTGTCCCCCGATATTCTTCAGAGCCCCCCCCCCCCCAGCACCCCCGATTCCTGCTGGTGCTCCCCCCCACCCCTTCCTGCACCCTAAAAATCTCTTTTCCCAGGAGATCTGGGGTTCTCTCGGCTCCCTCGGTTGGGGTCGGTGTCCCACCTGTGGGACTAGGACTGTGGAGCTCTGGTGACACAGTGACCCCCAAAAAGCTCTGTCACATATTGGGTGGAGTGAACAAAGGAAAAAAAAAAAAAGTAGATGCTACTGAAATTTCTCTGTGGTGCACTGATTCCTTCCCAGCCTTCATCTTAATGGTTAATTCCAGATATTCAACGATCCCAGCATCTCATACCCATCCATTTGTCATGCTGAGAACTACTCTGGGTAAAACTGCCTCACTGCCCTGCAGAAATTGCAGGGTAGCTGCCTTTTAAAAGAAAATATAAATAAAATATGTAGTTCAGAAATCATAGGGAATGCAGGAGGCTTTGTCGATAAAACAACAGGAATAGTCCGAATTTTATTTTAGACTTCTCTTCCTCCCCCCCCACCCCATTTTCATTTCAACCACTAATTACAAAGTGCAGGCTGGAGGCTCAGCAGTGGTGGAGCGAGGAAGGAGGAG